GAAGGCATGGAGATTTTTACAGACCGACTACTTGAAAACCTTAAAGCAGCCTGTAGTGAACTACTCCCCACACACGCAGCAAAGAAAATACAAGGAGTTAAGTGGTGGACGAAAGAGCTCAGACAACAACGGCAAAAATGCAGAGCTATCAGACGCCGCCACCAATACCACCACCACCAATGAAGACAGGAAAATCCAACTATTGGCGACATTCCGCAAAGAGCACGCTCTTTACAAAAACAACATACTAGCGGCCAAAATTACCAGTTGGAGGAAATTTTGCACCGAAAACAGCAATCCGTATGGAATCCTCCACAAGCCTAGCCTCAAGTAAAATATATCAGCCAGCTCAAATCTTTCATGCAGCCACCAAATACAAGCAACGACAATCCAGCAACAAAATACAGCCTACCACAATCCTCAACGAAGTTCTTTCCCAACAGACAACGCGGAGGAAGATACGCCAGCACAGAAAATTGTTCGCATGAATACCAACATCCCACCGACTCCACATGATATACCATTTAGTGACAAGGAAATCAAGCAAATTTTCCGGACAGCCTACCCCTGAAAAAGGCCCCCGGTCCCGGACGGCCTGGACTATATAGCATCATCAAAGTTGCCTACAAAGCACGCCCCTCCTTCTTCCACAAATTCTTTAACCAACTGTTTGACAACCAAATATTCCGGCAGGCATTCAAGAAAGGACAAGTTGTCCTATTCCTGAAAACGAACAAAAAGCCCGCAAGATCCGCGCTCTTTTCGCCCGATATGCCTTTTGCCAACACTGCGGCAAAATTTACGAGAAATTAATTGTTAACAGACTGAAATATCATCTCCATAGCAACAATCATCTCAGCCCCAGGCAGTATGGCTTTCGCACTGGTCTGTCCACTACGCATGCCCTCTGCAAAATTTCGTGAAACAATTCAACGCAATAGCACCACAGGTTTCCATACAGCTTTCATATCCATTGACCTCCAGAGTGCGTTTTGACACACTCTGGTGGCCAGCGATAAGACAGGCCCTCCGAGACGCACAGTGTCCATCCAACCTCTTCAGCGTTTTAGTAGTTATTTAGAGAATCGTAGTCTTCTCATAGCCATCAACAACGACACTACCTTCAAAGTGCAAGAAAGAGGATGTCCCCAAGGCTCTTGTGCTGGACCGATTCTCTGGACTTTAACATTCAACGCTGTACTGGATGCAAACTGGCCACGACATACAAGTGTCATCGCCTACGCAGACGACGCAGCTCTTCTTGTCAAAGGTCGCACTCGTGCGGAGCTCGAGAAAAACGGCACCGAAGTCTGCTCCCTCCTCGCTAATATCTGCACCAACTTAAAGCTTACAATCTCTACCGCAAAGTCATCAGCAATAATAATACCCAAAGCAGGCACGAATCCAACCCGCCGCTCCTGCATCAAACTACAAGGAGCCACCATAAAGAGGTTGTCCAAACGCTAAAATACCTAGGTGTAATCTGGGGATAAAAAAACTAACCTGGATCCCTCACATCCAAGAACTAAAGAACAAAACATCAGCTATAGCCAGAAAGGCGCGCACCTTCCAAGGTAGAAACTGGGGTCAGAATCATTATATTCAGAAGATCCTCTACCATGCGGTAGCTGAAAAAATAGTCTTGTATGCTGCTGCCGTATGGGCCCAACCGATGGGAGGACGAAAGATCAAACATCTTACATCTCTTCAACGACCATTCGCTCTGAATCTCTGTAAAGCGTACCGCACCACAGCCACCAGCTCAGAGATTGTTCGCATGAATACCAACATCCCACTAGCGACAGTCCTTGCAGGGCTCATTCCACTCCACATACGGGCAGAACAAGAGGCAGTCTACACCACCCTCCTATACCTCCGCAAAGATGCAACATTTGGTAACATAACATACAGCCCTCTGCAATTTCAAAGCACAGGTAACACTCTTCGCACTCATCCCGCACGTAAAGGCACAGGAATAAGAATTAACATGTCACGGATACAGCCACTGTCAATGACGCGAGTTTCAAGGGATACGCAAACATACACCGACGGCTCTAAGCAGGAAGATGGAGTAGGCAGCGCCTTTGCACACTATGACAAAGGAAGAATCATCCATGTATGGAAAGGACGCCTTGACTTAAACAACAGTGTGTTCCAGGCGGAGGTGCAGGCAATTATAACCGCGGTAGATTACATTTTCAATAATAATATAGAACGGGCGAAAATTTTCATTCACTGACAGTATGTCAACACTTCTAGCACTAGATAATCACAACCACACCTCGCCCTTGATCATCAAATTACAACAACTTTTACAGCGCAACCCGCAGAAACATCTCTCCTTAACATGGATCAAGGCACATGTAGGAAATGAGGGGAATGGAGCAGCTGATAGCCTGGCCAAGCAAGCAGCCACTGATCCAGAAGCTGAAAAAATCACAATCCCAGCCCCTCCTTCCTACCTCAAAGGGCTATTACGGGGTCAATGCCTAAATCTTTGGCAGAAAGACTGGACGCACTGCACAACTGGAAGACGTACATACAGCTACCTCCCGAAAGTCAGCACTGAACGCAACATTGCAATAGCTCCTCTTACGGCTTATATTACACATGTCTATTGAAGTAGGTCGGGAATGGACACGGCCCATTCCCGACCTACTTCAATAGACATGGCACAACCACGGACATATGCGCCTGCGGAGCGGAAGGCTTCCCACACCACTATGTTTTTGAATGCCATCTGACAGCAGGAAATCACCTCCCTCTTCCCATCAACAATAGCTAAGCTTATCACCGCTTCCTTATAAAGCACAAACCGGCAGTAAATACAATCTGCAAAGTTGTTAACAAGCTCAAGAGAATGGGCCAAGATTTGTGCTCTCCTCATTAACCAAAACTCTCAAGGCATGATACACTAACTAAGTCAGCATGCAGTTCAACATTCTCAGACACATAAGTCTACTCCTGAAACTTACATAAGTCCCTATTACAGATACTTATCAAATAATGTACAATCAAATGTATTTAACATTTCCTCTTCTGTATATGCATAATACTTACTTTTTTTTTAACCTATGAGCCTGTATTTTAATCCTATTATTTTGTATTTGTATTTTTGTATCTGTATATTTAATTTGTATTTTTATTTGAATTTTATTGTGAATATGCAAAATTACCATAGGAAATTGCAACAACAAATGTCAAAACAGTAAAACGAATGCAATCTGCCCTTGAATGGCCATGTAAATGCTCTTGTAAACATCCTAAAAAGCTCCCGAGGCGGCTTCTTGAGACCTCAGGGAGTTTGTTCCTGGTTAGTGGCGGGCGCGGGACACATGCCTGTTTACCTTTTGTTAGACATCAGGCGTCCCCGTCCTCCGTTACCAACCAACCAACCAACCAACGAGATGACATTATGCTTTAGCGATAACTCGGTAGCGAAATATTATATGAAATTAACCTTTCATCTAAATTAAAACATCAATATTTAGATAGTTATTTATGTTATGTAGAAGTGAGGGGGGCCACCTACTATTACACTTCCTTTCTTGCGTTAGGGTTGTCGCATTTACTTTTGGCAGCACTGGCATCAACAATAGTTTGGCGATTTTTTATGGCCCTCGAAACCGAATAGTACCTAAAAAAGTATTATATGAAATTAACCTTTCATCTAAATTAAAACATCAATCTTAGATAGTTATTTACTATTTATACTTCCTTTCTTGCCGCAATTATTAGGGTTGCCGTAATTATTTTTGGCAGCATTGGCATCAACAATAGTTTGGCGATTTTTTACGGCCCTCGAAACCGAATAGTACCTATTTTAAACCGTTTTATTCTTTGTATTATAATTTTTTGATTGATTGATGATTGATGCTATCGAAAGATCTTATTTTCAGTTTAAAGAGCGCCCAGTACATAATGTGCAGATTAGCGAGTGCCTAATATGTAATGTGTAAATTCGAAGGAGGGGGAAAAGGAAATGAGAGAAACAAACTTTTGAACTTTAACTATACGGAAGCCGTTATTATGCACATTACCTGGGTAAAATGTCGGAAACTCTTGATTCCGCACTTAAACGGAGCAAATCAGTTAATCCTCAGATTAGATTAGCTAAAGGATGTGTACCTTAACGATTTCAGCACTTTAGCGGTAACATGTACAGTACTGTACGCATATTAAATCATACACAGTTTTTGCTGCACTTCATTTAAACTTATTTTCCCGAATTATTATAACTTAATTAACAGATTCTTCCAGGCAAGTTTAAAATGAGATAACAAGTTTTGAAATAACATAACCTGTTCAAATTTTGCTGTACGTAGTCGAACTTCTCATATTTTTACTTTTTAACAATGAGGATAAGACCTTTCCCAAATACACGTATAGGAAACGGGAAATCCCATTAAAATTTAGATTTCGTTACTTGCCCCCAAATTAATTTTTTTAAAATTTGAAATTGCCAAAACAGGAGTATTTTCATCATTCAAAACACTTCTGTAATTGCAAGTATATGTCTGCCACCAATGATTACGAAAATGAAGGTCGGGTAAGGACGTTTAAGCCGAGTAAGGGGAGAGGTGCACAACTAAATGTTATAGCGGTGCCATATGCAAAATTTTAACGTTCTATGGCTAATCATTTTGAAGCTATGCGAGATATATACGTACATATGTACGTACAGACGTCACAAAAATTCCATTTTGAATCTATTTTGCAATCCGTTTTCGAATAGAGTTCTTTTTTCTGTTCGTATGTACCGACCTCACTCAGAGCAGTCAGAATAAATAATTCCATTGAAATGTGAAAATCGGAATTTTCCGCAATTACAATAATTCCTTTACTTTGTATAAAGAAGTAAAAAGTGCAGGACTGGAAATGTTCTCGTAATTTTAGTTTAAAGATATCTTTCGTCAAGATATGTTAATTTAATTTCATTCACTTTTTATTACTGTGAAAAAAAGTAAATAGATGTAATGGAATTGGAAGAATACACTTACTAGTTGGTCGTTAATATACCATTTCAGTTCTGGAGCGGGTTTTGACTTGCCGGAGTTGCATAAGATGGAGACATTATCGCCAAGTTCATAGTCAGATTTTTCTTCCATAAGCACTGGTCCGTCAGATGGCGGTACTGAAAAATAACACTTATCACATTGTGAAAGAAAAAAAGAATTCAGTGCTAAAGCAAAAGATAAAAGTTTTTCAACAAATTGTTTCTGATTTCACACGAGAGAAACTTTAATCATTATTTATGAATGACGATGAATTTAAATTAATTTAGCTTACTTAACCGAGCACTTCTTTCTTTATAATATGCGGCTTAAGTGTCTGTTTGCCGCCGATAGTTTATTTTGCCGCCTTTTGGCTACGCTCTTTGTCAGCTATTACTACGCTCACCCGTAATTTAGGCTCGATAGCTTCGCCAGCTTATTTGATATTTAGGGGCCAACTACTTAGAAATTTTGAAAACTTCGGCTATAACGTTTTAGTTAAGCATTAGGTAAGTTTCGCTTCTTATTGCTTTGAGTTCAAGCCCAAGGGGAGGCTATGTTATACGCTCTAAGAAGGAACCATCTGTTAAGTTCTTATTTTCAGAAATAAAAGGTAATTAACCCTTCTTGAGTATTCGTCTCAGTTCATGAACGAAAGCGACTATTCCCTTGCCTATTCACGAGGTTTCTACACAGCTGTTAGATAGAAGATTAGAACCATATGACTTCTAGGAAGCTTTGAATTATCGCACAGAATGACTTTTGCGATTGAAACTTTCCATTCAAAGATATGAATCGAGCTACACAAACTTTCTAGAGACATTTTCAGAGTATAAATATCAGAATTATACTTTTTAATCTTGAAATGTTAATTTTAACAAAAGGGTAAAAAGGTCATGCCGAAAAGAATTGCTTGGATTAGCGGGGGTACAATGATTTCAGGAGTTCCATCTGAAATGCAAAAGAAAAAAATCTGATGTGTGAACCACATGACTTCCTTGTACGGAACATTAAATTATACGCATTTTTTCTTGCATTTCATTTAAACTTATTGAATAAAATCTACTTCGTCGATAGCGCATAAATCACAATAGAATAAATGCACAATTTAAAATTCGCTATATTTGTTTACTATAGCGACACTCTGGCCCTAGGTTCACTTAACAACGTTACATTTCCTTCATTTTTTAACTCAGAATGAACAACATTTATATCATCTTAAGAATTATCTAATCGTTGCCACATGTTCTATTCAAATACTATAATAAATCTAAAACGATGTATAAAAGAAATTAAGAAAAAAAAAAAAAAAAAAAAAAAAACAGTTCTTTACAGACGATTCAGTATTTCTCATTCAATTAATTCACTTCGCGACAAGGCGAAAAAATACATAAAAACTCAAAATGTCTGTATTGGAAATTATGAAGTAAATCTTGAAAACTTATTTCCTCGAATAAATTCCAGAAAGGATTAAGCATGATTTAATTCGCAATAATAAAAGAAGGCGCTATCTTTGTTATTACGAAGCTTACTTTCTCTAGCAACAAATCTACTATTCTGCTGTTTCAAATATAAACAAGCAATGGATTAGGCTTAGCGGCACTTAAACAACTTTTAAATTGTTCATAATTCTAAAAATATTGCATACAGATTTAATAAAGGCATAAAAACCTTAACCGGAAGATTAAAAACAACATAATTCAATCATTTTTAAAGCAAACAATGCACAACTTACAAACATATAAGAATAAAGAATCTGAGATCACTGAACCGAGTAACAGAGTTATATATATATACATATATTTATATACTTTTGGTGTTTATGGATATATATATACATATATTTATATACTTTTGGTGCGACCGATTGCAACCGAAATACGAGGTGCACATTCTAGATGTTATAGCAGTCCTATATATAAAATTGCAACGTTCTGAGGCCAATTGTTTTTGAGTTATGCGAGATACATACGTACGTAAGCACAGACGCCACGAAAATTTCTCTTCAGAATTCATTTTAAATTAGTTTTACAATTTTTTTGAGGGAAAAGCGTCCTTTATTCTGTCCTTACGTACAGATGTCACGCAAAAACATCGCTAAATTGCATTCGGTAGGAGTGAAATTGGATATTTGCGTTGAAATAAACTTTTCGCGATTACAATACTTCCTTTCTTCTTCGTACATAGAAGTAAAAATTCAAATTTTGCTCTTTCAGTTAAAAAAAAATGCTATTTCCACTTTCGTACATTGAAATGAGAAATCTAAAACAACTAGAAGGAAATGGTAATCAAAATTTAACAAGTTACGTATTGATGAAAAAAAACTTAAATTCCTATTATAATTATGAAACTTTTATGAAATGGACATTAGTACTTACCTATGAAAATAACGAACAAAAATATATCTGTCTCGTTCCCCTTTTTATCTTTTAGTTTAAAACGAAAAATCTAAAGCTAGGTTCAGATGAATGATTACTTCACTATGTAATGGGACTGCGAAAATAAACGTTAACTTATGCTGCTTTCAGCGCGATGTAAAGATTGAGACAAGAGTTCGTAATCTTAATTTTAAAAATCTTATGCTATTAGAAAATTTTAAAATCAATTTTCTTTCATTTGGAAAAAATTGTAATAATGAAAAGTGCTAAGAAACTGGAACACATTTTTCATTTATCAGCATTTGTTCTCACTGTATACGGATGAAATAAGTTTTGTATTATTAATTACTAAAGCTTACAACGATAAGTTAAACTACGACTCACTTAGAAATGATGGATTATATATAACGACGATTATGAACAAGTATCCACACGTAGGTATAATATAGTATATATTTAATATATGTTAAATACATAAATACATATTAAAAACCGGCTATAAAAGATTAGAAACCATTAGTGTAGTGCTAATATATTTTATATGAGCTTCCACTGAATTTATATAATTTATACGTTCCTGTGCATTGACAAGTATATTCGTACGTGGGATGGAAAGTTTTGTGTTGAGTATACTCGTTCATGCGAGTCATCGGGTTAAACATTTTGTAAATTGTCATCCATGCGTTTTGCTATATGGAAAAAACTTGGCAATTTATTCCCATTTTTGATAGAAACTTCAATGATTTGTCAATAATAAGAAACGAAAGTTTTCAATTCCATTGTTCATATAGAAGTTATACTTACTACCTTGCTGTTGTTTTTGCTACCACGAGAAATTTCTTCCTCAAAATCCAGTGTTTTATTTATCAAAATTGGCTAAAATAAGACACTTTTCTCTCAGATGAAGATGGTTTTCATGTCATAATCTTTAATTAAATCCAGGTAGTCGATCATCCATTGATTTATACTTTAGTCTTCAACGGTTTTATTTCCTGCGCCTAGAAAATAGTTTTTTAATGCTTGTCTTTGTTTCAATTTTTTTGTTTCGATATCTGGATACAAAATAATGTTTTGCCTTTCATTAGCTCGTTTCTATTTGGTAAATTAGAAGCTCGTATTTCTTCGAATCATAAACTTAAGACCATTCCAAAATCGCTACAAAATACAGTCGCTATAAAATGTCTCATTCAGTCCTTACTTTTACAAATTCTTTAAAGTTGATTCAGGCAACTCAAATATTTTGATTCACCCATTTCAATACCTTTGGATATTTTATTCTGCCTGAATTATTTCTGTCTTAAACGATAATGCTAAACTTTTCTTTCACACATATGTTACGAATCTCAAATTAAAAAAAATTATTAAAATTAAATGAAAAAGCTTTTAAAAATTTTCTGTTAAACACACAGACCATTCACATATTATACACAAAGAGGAATAGCAAATGTGAGCGAAGGATTGAAATATCACAATTGTTAACGAAGATTGGAGGTAAGGTAAATACCGGACAGTGAGGACCAGAAGATTGTGAGGCGGCATACTGAAAAACATTTTTTTGGGCTGTTCAGAAGAAATCCTGACACTATACAATTCAATATATTTAAATTCAACGATATAGTAAAAATACTTTAAATATGAGCCAGGTTTAACGACAAAGTTTTGTGTTGCATAACTGAGGGTGGGCTTATAAATATGAGAAACTAAACATTAAAACTCTGATTTACATGCTGCGTCTTAAAAAACCTTATATGGTTGTCAAGACAACCATATAAACGAGTGGGTTTAAATAACAAATTGTATTCGTTTCAGTTTACTTTATTATTATGCATTGTTTAATGGTTATTTGTTCTGAAACACGGTTTTACGTTGTGTCATTTTAATGCGTTATTTCACTTTTTTTTCTTGTTTGTTGCCATTCGGAAAAACTTAGGTATAATTTTTTCAAATTTTATAATTTAATATGCTTCTTATTAATTAAGAAACTAAACTGTTTAAAAGCAATAAATGCAGTTCTTAAGAATATTATTTATTTACTTTTAATATGATTGATTTAAATAAAAATGTATTTAATTCATGATGAAGTTAATTAAAGATATTAAAAATTTTTATAGAATTACGTTACATAATTTTTAACTTTTAAACATACAGAAGATATGTAATGTTAATCTAAATGCATATTCGTCCAATATACTGTAAAATATTTCGCGATTCCGTTTGGACCATATCTATCAAAAATCTCTTCTAATAAACCATATTAAACTTTAAGAAAAGCTCTTTTGGGCGATAAGAAGTTTTATCGTGATGTTTGAAAATATAAGTTATAATCTGAACTTCTTTCATTTTTTCTTTTATTATTTTATCCTGTGATTTATTTTTTAAAATTAGATACTATATACTCATGTCTTCAATAATTATAACGTTGCTTATAATTATGGTAAATTTATGTCTCAAATTAATTTATTATATTGCTGTATATACAATTTCGTTAATATAACAAATGAAATTTTATAAACAGCATGAGTAAAATGTGATATATTGATTGTCAACTGAACAATTTATTGCTAAGTTTGGACATATTTCAAGTGTTTTAGTAACGAGTTTTGTGGAATCATAGCAGCATTTTATGAATTTCTCAAGAACTTTCTAACAATCTTCTTTTTCTCTACTTCTTCCTGCAAAGCCCTGGGTTAAGCTCAATATAAGAATCGGAGAAATATTGCGGTATAATAATAAATAGTTAGTTAAGTTGATGTTCAGCTAAA